CGGAATCTTCTGTTTCTTCAGGTGACACTGTAATGTCAGAAAATGTTACCACGCATGCCCATCCCACAAATCAAGATGAAGCTTGTTGCATATTACTCCAACGATCAACAGCATGAAACGTGGATTCAGTGCCAATCATATAGGTTGTGGGCACATATTGAATGCTCAGGATGTGACGCGGAGTTTTATATTTGTGATTTTTTTATGTAAATTTATTTCATACTTGTAATTTGGAACCCGGGTTCCATAATACCAGCACCAGATCTTTGAACACATTTTTTTATTTTTACAAGAAAGCATTTTTTTTCCTATAATGAGTGATTTTATTTTATAAATTAGTCTCTAATATAAAAGTTAATAAGTTTTTAAATATAGAGACAATTTTTTTGATGATTAGTCAAATAGTTTTCTTAAAATACTCAAAAAACAAAGTACCACCCCCTCCCTATATTAATTAATAAAAAATCATTAATATTTTTTTATTTTAAATTTATAGTTTCGATAAATACATGTAAATATATAAAATATATAACGATGCACATAGTGTAAATAGTTAAAAAACGGATGCTAAATAAATGCGTCATCGCCGTAATGCGTTTCCGTTGCATTGTCGTTGTCCAAAGCATTCCCTTACCCTTTAGTCGCGCCTAAAAATGTTTTATATCAAAACCCCAGATCTTTAATCGCTGCGTCAAAGGAAAAATAATTTACGAGTAGTTACTACTAGGCGTCGCAATAATATGTCACAGTTTATTGGGGTTCCGCTTACCTTGGCGAGCGATCATATTATGCGGGAACTATCGCCCCAGGAAAACTCTCCCGTGAACTTATCTCGCTGAAACGCAATTTGCCTTTCAAAGTATGAGATTTTTGCGGCATTATTTTGTACGACTTATTGCGTCATGCGAGAGTTCTCGTAAACAGCAGCTTTAATGTGACTGTTTTGCTTGCGTTGTTAGATATGGAATTTATTTGAATACGTGAATTGGCACCACTATAATTTTTACATATTTTCACATAACATAACTTGATACTTCCGGAATTACAGATAAAGCTAACAAACTATATCAAATAAAATCAAATCAAAATCATTTATTCGAAGTAAGATTTTTTCACATCGTTTTTCGACGTCTTATCATTTGTCTTATAATATATGTCTCTCATGCCGTGCTGGAGTATCGGTAACACCAAGCCTCTTTGTCATTGAAATAATCATATAACTTATAATAAGCTATTTTAAACAGTGTCTGCTTTACAATAAATTTGAACTTTTTATCCGGTAGATTTATTATATCATCAGGAATTTTGTTGTATTAGCGCACTCAGAGCCCCACGAAAGAAGTCCTAGCAATAAAAATAATAAAAAATATCAGAATATTTAATAAAGTCATGGATATTTTTCCTAACATACATAATACATATATAAATGGCACGTCAACTGTTATGGCATTTTTATTTAATAATAAATTCATTATAATTTTCTCATAACTATCAAATGCAAAGCAACACTTCTTTTTAAACGTTCATTGAAAAAAATATTCGAGTAGTCGGCACACAGTCAAACTTTACACAAGACGTGCCATTTAGGATCAAAAATTGAAAAAAATGCCATATTAAACAGTAGATAGTTGTCGAGATTTTCGCGCCGTGAGAGTACTGGTTACCTAATTCAGTTCTGTTCTGTGTGTATCGCACCCAATTATTTGGGTGCGATACACACAAGACACGAGTTCGAATTCTGGAAGCACCAAATTTTTTTTTAAATTTATATATATAATTTGTACGTGACAGAGAAAATATGTAGTTTAAATAAAGATTAATAGATAAATTTTAGAAAAAATATGGTGCTTCCAGGAAACAAATTTTAAAATATTTGAATTTAGCAATTCTGATGTTTTATTATTTAACAACAACTATAATTGTGATATATTTAATCATAAGCATATAATTATACATTATGTGTTATTGTTTTTAATAAAATATGTAATGAATCAAATTAATAAGTTACTAAATTTTGTGTTCCGTTAAAAGAATTTGTTTCCATCTTGCTGTTAATTGGTCGGAACCCCTCCTCGGGTATAGCCTCCTCCAGCTTTTCCAGACCTCTCTTGTGCATTGCTTTCTTTCTCCATTCGCGTCCAGTCGTACGAAATAGTGCTGTAGTGATAGCTTTTATATCTTCTATCCATCTTTTTCTGGGGCGCCCTTTTCCTCTTTTTCCCGTTGGTCCTTCCCACGTAGTTGTCTCAAGTGTCCATCTTTTTTCTGTGCTTCTTCCTATATACATATATTTTTGATATGATGTGTGGATATTCAAAAACATTTGTTAAAACTTACATTGATTACATGTAACCTGACCTATAAATGTTTATGCTGCCCATATATGTGTTTTTGATGGTCCTTTCAATGTTTCGGAAGGTTTCGGAGTAAATGTAAATATTTATAGAAAGGTTTTTTTTTTATTTACGTGAAAAGTTGCCAAGCGAGCAGACGGATCTCCTGATGTTAAGTGAATACCGCCGCCCGTGGACATCTGCTACACTCGAGGGTTGCAGATGCGTTGACAACCTTTTGAAAATTGGGCTCCGGCCACCTCACTCACCAAACGAAACGCGAAAGTATTATACTTCCACTTTACACCGGTCTTCTGTGATGTCGTGGTACCTACCCGGACGAGCCTGCCCATTCGTGCAACAGCCGAGACTGCTGCGTGGCCCTACCACCGTAGGTGAAGTAGATATAATACATAAAGTTAAAATCATACTAATATTTGCAAACACATATGTTTTTTCTTTCAACCCCGTACATGAAGTACTTACATAAATTATAAATAGATATGTAAGTAGCAAGTATCGAATCACTCGTGTCTTTCATTTAGTGGCCACATACCACAATATCGTTGGCCCGTCATTATTGTAAGTGGAGTAAGTAGAGTGTATTATTCAAGTTCAGAGCGAAAAAATCTTCGTTAATAAAAGCCTGAATAAAATATAAAAACGGCAGCCGGTATTGGCGGATTCATTCGCGCGGCGCGATTCTATTTTATGTTCGCTTCCCCGCGAAAAAATAGTTTATGATGACATGAAATCTCTGCGGCCCTGTGTGCATGAAAGCTGTATGATAACGCTTAAACGGGGTTAATGGTCGCGGATCCAGTTGGATTGTTGCCTAATGCGTGTCTGACATGTGTGATTTGTTTTTTTCGCCCGTCGGAAATCGGAATTCGAGAACGTTCGAAATAATGCAGTCCGTGTCGTTATTCGGCGTTGTTAGCCATTGGCTCCCGTTTCCCGCTGAAATTGAGTTGAATAGTACGAGGCTAGCTTTATACAATTCTTACTTTTTAATTCAACTTATCGATTTTATAATGTTCTATTTAAATTTGCCTGGCCCTAATAAGTAAACATTAACTAATATAAAGTTGAACGTCTTGAAATCCGTTAGTTCTAAAAGTTTTAATGATTTACTATGTAAATTATAAAAAATAAATAATAAAAAATTGTATAGTGTTACAGCATCGTAATTTGAAGTCGAAGTTTTATCATTAAAATTAATTGTTTGTTAATATATAGTTTAATTAAATTGTATATAATTCTTTCTATCTGTTACTTTTTACCATTTCATTTCTAAACCACATTTAACATCAACGATTTCATAAAGTACCACAGACTACATTTGTATATAGGACTAAGGTATGGTACTGAAGTAAGCCAATTTAACGATTACACATTATTATAACGGTAATCGTACTCAAATATCCTGGGCTAATTCTAATATACAAACAGGCAAAGCGCCAAGATCGGGAAGGCCGCACGTGATTTGATATTTACGAGAAATATAGCATTTAACGCATTTTTCCGAGGGCGAAAGCCGTGTAGTTTTAGAATCTATTTATCCGAAGGTTCTTGTTCTACTACGGATATCATCATTGTGTAGTTTATCGCGCAGAAAAATACCGAGTACCTATAGCTCGTTCCATAGCTCGCTGAACTAAGGAAGCTCGTCCCGGAGTTAAGTTTCAGTTCGATAACTCATCACTGGCAACACACGTTGATGGAAGAGTTCAGTCTTAAACCTTTACTTAAAACAATTACATTAATTTCAACTATTTCATGATAGATCATTATTGTTATTATTATGGTATGGAATTGAATTATGTTGTAATAATTATTATTGTATTAAAATTGAACCTATATATTTAAAAAGCTCCAAAGCCATACACAGACATTTAACCACTGGTTCTAAATACAATTAGCAAATCAAATCAGAATTTTTATAAAAAATTATGATTATTAAATGAATCCTGACGTACAAGGTTACAGTAACTTTAATCAAAACCTCAGCGATTCGGACGCTGTAAATGAATGCCATACGTCGGGGTTTGAAAATCACGGTCGAACGCCGTAAAATCTCCAAATTAGTCGATCATTATTTGGCCTATTTGACTATGAACTTTTAAGCCCGTTCAGATATAGGCGAATGATCGTAAATACTTCTTAAGAAGTTGCTGCAAGCGATCAAATGAATGAAACTGTAGAGATACAAAAACAGCAAGTCTTATAACACATTTGAATAGAATGCGGTCGAACGATTTATAGTGTTCAACGTGGTTTACACGTAAGCATCCATTTTTCTCTGCCAATATCATATGCATGAGCTTTCATAACATGTGGTTCTGTTTATTAGAGCAACAAATGTTTGGGTTTGATAGGTTTTATACCCGTTATCATTATATCCGTTTATAGAAGATTTCTATTTGAGTTTTATAAACGTTAATCTTATAGGAACTTAAGAACTTGCTTAGTCTATGGAAGACTTTTTTCCCTGTAAATATGTCTAATAATGAGCGTGTGATTAGTGTGAATAGCCTATGTGACTACAATACTTTTTATTTGTATAAGTTTTAACAAACGTAAAAGAACGAGTACTTGCAATCGATAATGTTAATCAAATACCTTTTTTGGTTTTATACTAATCCGTAAAATCGGTTTCATTACAGAATGGCGACTAAGGAGGAAACAGTGGAAACAGAAATAAAAGTTAGTATGATTTATATGTAAACTGAAATTAATTTCAATAATTGCTGCAAATGTGGTTTCGTCGTTTCAAGATCCTTTGTAATGATAATTATGTAATTTAAGACACGGTTAGTGGCTAGCGATCTTATTTATCAGTTAAAGTTATGTGTCCGTAGGGTGTGCACAAGCATTTGTGTTTGTGCACACAATCTGTGTTTAAAAATTACTGCAATTGAGGTTAGTGTTTTGTGCACGGCACCGACATCAGACTGTGAATAAACTGAAATATGAATAGCAATAGCAATGTATGTCTAATTTGGCAGTTTCAGACGTGAGAGCTTATTTTATTTCGTATCAAGCCCGACCTATTGTGATAAGTTGAGATTTTGCCGTAAAGTTATCGGCAATCTCTTACTTAAAAAGTGTCCTCAGCACAGTCTTAATATTGTGGTTAAAACTTGTTACTGAGTTCTTCGTTTTGATCTGTCTCTCACCGACCTAAGGAGAAAAATGTCTGCGAAGGTTAAGTCATTCTCAAGACACAACTTAGGGATTAACAAAAGTACTCAATATAACAATAATATTACTATAGCTTTATTTGCATTCAAAGCCTCTTTTTTAATCATTAACTTAAGGTAATTGATTAATTTGTATGTTAAGACAACGTACAAAAACCGTTCGATACCGTTTCCCTTATGGCTCATTACACTGTATTGGAAATTTTAATGTATCGTGAAATAAATGTTTTGTAACGTTAAATGACTTGGAATATATATTCTTTGGCCTGTTTCAGTTTCTGAATTCTAATGATGCGTTTTGTTCTTTTGTTTTGAATGTCTCCCTGCTTGCTATTTGTATATAAAAATGTGTGTCGTGCGTACCGGGAATGCCGTTTTTACAACTATATGTCCAGTAAAACACAATGGTACAAAGCGTCAGAAGTACTTTGTATGCGCAAAATTGTGAAAGGAATTATTGTATTCTAGATACTGTACGAGTAATCTACATTGTTAATCAAATAATCGAAATGCACGGAAACTCCAAAGCGCAGCGTCACATTGGCGATTCGTCTAAGACAAATCGTGGACGAGCCGTCCGTTAATATTGGGGTCGCGACCAAAATACATGGCGGCTGCGGACCAGACGGCAGTAGGCGGTAGGCGGCGCACGCGCCGACCGCGCGCAGCACCTCCCGAACACATCAGCTCATGTGCCGAGCCCGTGCTAAATTTAACCGCTGCGACTAGATAATCCACATGTTACAATATAAGTGAACCGTTGTATTCAAGAGTGATGTGCGAATCGGATATCGATTATTGTGTATGGCTGGAATTTATGTGATCGTACGAGTTAATGTGCGAGAGTTTATATATTCAACATCGAATCAAAAAAGGAGGCTCATGTTTTAAATCTTGAATTTGGGTTTGGCTTCGTGAGTATATATAATCTATCTTTTTACAGTAATTGTCAAGTTGCCAAACTATAGCAGAGCATTGGAAGTTTCGAATATTTCGTGTTGGTAATAAAATATAAACAGTAACGTTTTTGTTTGTGATATGAAACGATAAAATATCAATTTCAGAAACATGAATCCACCGCCCGCGTTGCACGGCGCCATGAACAAAGATCGTAAGCCATTTACCTACACCCCCGGTGGTCTAGATCTGTCACAAATAAAATCAGAACGTATGGCAAAACGATTAATGAGAAATGCAATGGATCAAGGCGTTCCAGAGCATCCAACTTCGAACTTACAGTCTCCCCCGCCTTCGCTGTCAACATCATTGAACGTGCCAAATTATAACTGTTTACCTGTTCAAGTATTTCCAACGTTTCCACTACCGGCAAACCCAAAGTCATTATTGAAGACAAGAAGCAATTCAACTGAGCATAAGGAGCGACTTTCCAGTCAAACAGAAACAATAGCGCCTCGTTCAGAAGAATTATTAACAGATGTGAAAAAATTACACGACTCAAAACAATGCTTTGCAGATGATAAAAAGTATAAATTGCCTTATATTGAACCGGCCTATGAAAATAAAAACAATGATCAATGTTTAGGCGATGACGAATATAAGGCCGCACGTGTAGTTTATCCTTATGCTAATTATGGAAGTAGTAATTACACCGATCCAATTTCGCCAAAAGTTCAGATTAGTGATGGAAATATTCGAGACAAAAGGGAGTCTAATCACGAGTCTCATTACAAAATTTTACATGCTAACAGTAATATTTTTGGTAGTGAGCCCCTAATAACAAATAGCTTGACAGTATCTACACCTTCATTGGTTTCGGTCCATGATTCTGAAAATAATTCACCTCAAATTTTAGAAGAATTCTTGGGAACCGAAAATAAACAGGTGGATTTAAAATCACTGTATATTTACTATGTCTATGTGTATATGTGTGTATATATTGCCTGTTATACATATTTGTGGTATAGCATTAAAGAGCCATAAAGAAAATGGTAGTCTTATAGTGAGTTCCCAAATGTAGCTTAATATTCTTCAGAAATTTATTTATTATTTAATTTTTCTATTTTGCCCACTAGTTTTGATATGTTGATAAATAAACTATTGCTAAATAAATGTTTTTATCACTATAATTGAAATTATATTTTTAATAAATATTTAATGTTTCAGAAAGAAGTGAAAGTCATCAAAAAGCAAGAAAAAGCAGAAAGTGTTACAGAAGAACAAAATGGAGATACAGACATTGAGGCTGCTGTAACTGTAAAGTTACCTGGGAAGAAATCAGCTGCAAAAACAGAAACAAAAGTTGATGTGGTTAAAAAGGTTTTGCCGGATGGGTCCGTCGAGGAGGTTAAAACTACGACGACCAAGACTACTATTGAGGGGAAAACCGAAATAACAACAAAAACTGAAACAACCATTATTCCTAAGGAAGATGACTTTGAGGAAGAGGAAGTTGTAGAAGAAGAAGAAGAAGAGGAACAGGAAAATTATGATAATAGAGAAGATAGCAAAAAGGCAGTTCTATTAAGTAAAAACCAAGAAGACGTACACGATAAAGAAGGATTAGCAGAAGAAAAGCAATTAGAAGCTGAATCTGATATAAGTGTTACAAAACAACAGGAGAGTTCCGAAACATGTGTAACAAAAAAAGTAACAATTGTTCAGTCATCAAGAAGCCAAGACAATTCTGAGGAAGAGATTGAAGAAGAAGAAGAACAAGAAGATGAAAAAGAAGAAGACCGAAAAGACGATGAAAAAGAGATTCAAATAAAAAACAAAGAAGATGAAATTGAATCCAATAAGGTTCTCGCCAAAGGAGAAGCGGAGTCAGACGATGAAGACTTTTGTGATGAAACAGGTGATAAAAACGAATCAAATCGTAAAAAACAAGAAGAAAATGAAAGTTTAAAAGATGATGAACAAGACAATGACGTTGAATCTGAAGCAGAAGAGGAGGGCAAGCCAGCTCATGCGAGCGAAAGTGAAGAAAAAGATGATGAAAAACAAGAAGATAATAATAGTGAACAAAAATTACTACAGAGTGATGAAAAAGAAGATGAAGGGAAAATTAAGGATATAAGTCAAAATGAAGATCATGACAGAAAAGAAGAAGTTGCAAGTAAAGAGAGGGAACCGGAAGAAAGCAACGATAAAACTCTAGAGACCTCGACAGGATATCCTCAAGAAAATAAACAAGAAATTGTGATTGAAGTACAGGTATTAAAACAAGGTTTTCCGACTAAAGAAGAAAGGAGCAAGGAGTCCACTACTGTTAATGAGAATGAATTTAAGCCATCTATTCAGACAGAACAAAAAATTCCTTTAAGAGAACCATCGGTTCCTCTTGAAAAAGTTGAAGATGTTGAAATTAAACCTATTGGACAAATAATTTCAAAATCCCACAAAGAAAATACTGAAATAATTACTACATCCATAGATAAGCCAGTAACGGGATTAAGCACTCAAACTGCTTATAATAGAATTGAAAATATAGTGACAGTTAATCGCACAACAAAAACATTGGATCATGCATATGAGCAAATCGCACAGCATAGCGTTCCAATGGTTAAGACTACCTTTGCGCCAAACTTAGAAACCTTGTCAACTTCACCGCAACTTTCTAGACCTTATCAACCAGTTTACACCCCCGAGCCACAACCAGAAAGAAGGCACAGCCTGTTACTCGATCGGCTAAGTGTTGATCGTCAAATGCCGCCGACAGAATTGTATCAAAATAATTACCAGTTTAGTAATCAGAACTATGACCAAAATCAATGGTCCCAAGAGCCTCAATCAGAAGTATTGACTGTTAGTAATGTAAAACCTAGTACGATCACGAAAAATCAGCAATGGTATCAACAAACAAAAAGAGAAGATGTTAGTTATAACACTCCAGCGCCCACATTAAACGTTCCCACTCAACAATGGAATTCACAACTGTCGCATTCTCAACCATTACAACACACGCAACCTCAAACTCAAACGAATTACCAGTCTCAACCGCAATATCAACCATCCTATTTAGAAACGCAAGACTCTTATAAGACAAAGACAAATAATTCTAGCGTGCATCAACAAAACTCTTATCCCGGTTATATACCAAAACCAACTAATTGGGTTAACAATAATGTCATGCCTACAAAAACGCCTACACCAACCATTAATAAACTGCCAACTCAATTTTCTTACACAGATAAGGATACTGCAGAAAATTATTCAAAACCAACAACACAATTTTCATCATCGTATGTCCCACCACCATGGGAACAAGATTCCAATTTTGTGCCTGACAATATAAATCAAACGTATTATACCCCTCCACCAAGCAACAAATTCACAATCAATACTCCCACCAAATGGACGCCGACAACAGGAAACAAATTTTCTAAGCCTAAGCCCACATCATATATACCACCTGCACCAAATCAATCGTTTGTCAAACCTGTGACTGCAGTCGATCTACCAAAGTTACCAGGACGCAAAACGTACTACAGTGAATATGAGAGACGTTACATATCTGTTCCAGAATCTACTTATATTCCTACTGAGAATAAGTTCCAGGCGCAACCAGATCCCTCACCTCAATATTATTACGATAGTAACGAACCCTCAGAGGCAGTGGAACATGAATGGCGAAAAGAATTAAGGGAGTTTTCTGAGAAAACCCAAACTCAAAGTCAGTCTGGAGAAATTTCGGTAAAGCCTCCATGGGAAGAAGATCCCAAGTACTACGTTCCTAAAGTTACTACTGAGTATACCCCTACACCCACGTGGAGTCAAACGCTACGACCTAATTCGTGGCGCGAGAGAAGTTTTGAATCGGAATTTGTGCGATCTAAAGAATTGCCACGGACGAACACCTTGGGTCGAGGACGACCTCAAAGCTCTTACGTAAAAAGTAATGTAAGTGCTCCGATTCCTGAGAGGCCTCGCGGAGTTTCGGTCGATAGATACAACTCCAACACTTACAATCCCCAGTGCCGTCTGAATATCCTCCGGTTTCGAGTCACACATTAGACCCACCCATTGGTAGTAAGGCGTATCACAACCCTAACGTACCTGCTTACCATTCTCGAGCTTCTGCTGAACCTAGGTAAGTAATATTTCTCAAGTGTAATAAATGTTTAATTAATGTAAATGAATGAAAATATAAATTATGTTATGTTACGATTAGTTAATTTGTATCATATTTAACCTACAAAGAAGGAATACATTTGTATAATAGCGTTTCACGATTTTCCTCAGATCCAATACTTAAGAGATTTTGTGTTTATTATTACTTGTTTAATCTAAATTTCATAAAGTAATCTTTTGGACTGTATAAAATCCAGAACAATGATTGCATGTATTCGGCAAAGTTATACTTAATGTGTGATCAATAATACGTGTTATAACTTAAAGTATAAATAACAGTTATGCTATCTGTTTTTCAGAGAGCAATCGGCAGCTATTCCACAAGCACGACAATGGGGTGAAGCACGCACGACCCCTATACAATCAAGATCTTTCAAGTATCTTCAGTGGATCACCGGGACCGAAGATTGAGCTTGAAGGAAATGAATAAGTTATTATTATAAATATTAATGAAGGTACAATTATCGACAAAGCAGTGGGTAAAATATGAAAAAAAAATATATACTTTTTCGTCAATACCATTTCGAAATTGAAGAAACTTTACTTGATCCATTATTATTTACGAAAAAAGCGAATTGTTAAAAATTATAATTATATTAGTATTAAGTCGAATACATATTATTTAATGAACAATCTCTTTAATACTCAATGGGTGCAGTTCCTTTTCTTCGTTTCTAAATGTTACCAATAAGATTTCTTTGTTTATTTCTGTGGTTAGAGACATTGTTATAATGTGATATTTTTGTATACTTAATTCGCTAACCTAGTCATTGGAAGTATATTTTATCGTTAGTCTTGAGTAATATAACTAAAGTTGTGTTTTTATGACGTACTTACAACTACTTTTTATTTTGTTTTGATGCAATCATTTCTTTAACTTTAGTATAGTCTAGTATGTTGTATATGGTGATACATACTAGATTTTATTCATTTAAAATCGTGATATGTCCATCTGTATACAGAAAATATTATCAAGTCACAATCTTCATAAATCTATTAATAATTTAACTGATTTAAAATATTAAAGGTGTATTTTATTTATAAGTGATTGTTAAATGCATGGTCCATTATGTTGGTAACAATTCAAACACGACGTTGTTTGTAAAATTGTTGTTGAGTTTTATTTAATAAAGACCTAATAAAATGTTCCTTTATTTTTTTTATTACATAGATACCATTTATTGTGTTTATAAAACTTAAAACCTTCGAAATTAAATATAAAATCACAAAATAATAATGAGGCTACAAAAACTGCTACACGGTAGCGACATGAATGATATGTATTGATTTTGTCACCTAAATTATATAAAACTTACGTATCCATAATAGCCTTTTGTATACTATTGTCCGTTTTTCAATATTATTTATATTTCATACATATATCTTCTTATGGCAAAAAGAAGTTAGAGAGCGGATAGGAAAGCAAATGAAAAAATGACAATAATATTAAAACATTTATAACTTATCTTTGATAAACAGTGAACATAATTGAAAAAGTGAAAATTTTAGGTAAATGTTTATAAAAATCTGATCACTCATGATTCGGAACTGAAAAGGGGTGTTTTTACTAAAGCAAATGACACAAAGGCGAAAATGACAAAATGGATTTGTCTTAGATGCGGTAAAAGAACAAATTATGTGATTTACGATAAACTAGCCCTCCACAATGCGTCGCGGACAAAACAATTCATCGCAACTATTGTGAATTCTATGAGCGTTATTTACACTCTGATAGTACAGGCAGATACAATCGGAGGTTTATTGAGTTTTTAAGCCGATGACGTGGTAGTGAGTCTGCCGCCGTGAACCCGAATATAGTGAAAGAGATTTTCGTGTGTAAAAAATCGGAAAATAATTTCGAACGCAGCGCACGACATTGGAATCAGAACTTGCAATTTCCAACCGAGCCGACAATGGACTACTTCTGTCATCCATCAGACAGGTTCACTCCCCGCCCTAGCTGAGAACTTAATTAAGTGTGGCAAAATCTCATTTAAGAATTAACATTCCGTACAATTCCTCCCACTAGCGTAAAATCGTAAAAACCTTTTCGCCGACGTGTTACAACGAAACGCTCTCTTCCTGCCACCGAACTATTCCACTTAGAGCACGTGAATGGCCTGTCTAGATGTCCTTAGCCAGACACATTTAATTTGCGTTTATATCTAACGTACTTTTAGGAAATGAACTCCGTAATCAAGTCAAAGGAATTTCAGTAAAATATATTGTGCTTAAAGTGAAATATGTTGTATGGTTATAATATATGTTTTAAAGTGGTAATATGGCCATACCAAAAGGGTAAAACGGGACCATATTACTAAGACTCTGCTGTCTGTTGGATTTGAACACTTGGACACAATTGAAATTTTCACAGATGTTTTTATTTGTGACGTATAGTTTGCTGTTAGCTCGGCGGCTTTGACAGCTTCGGCGGAAGAGTTCCGCGGGCAGACGACCCACGGACTCGGGAGAACAACGTAGCTGGTGCACGACGACGACACGAAGACGCCGTCCGCTCCACACGAGCCAAGGGCCGCTCAGATGGAGGTTCGAACCTTGGCTTGGATCGGATCGTATTGGCGTTACACTATCGCTTATGAATGAATAATACAAACAATTATTCATGACAATTTGTTTAATGACCAATTTGTTTACGAGATTTGTTCATCTTTATTGACATGTGTTATCGGTGTTAACAATTCATTTACGAAAACATCACCGAACAAAATAAAAGGTTATACAATTAATCACGCAGCGATTACGAGCGCCTACGAGTATACATTCATCAATAAATAACAATGACAACACGACGTAATGATTCAAAAAGGACCAGGCACACGATTATATCACGTGTGAGCCGTAAATAGGGGCCCTCCGACCGGGTTCCCGCCTTGACGTGGCAGAGGGGCTTAGTAGCCGTGGCTTTGTCACCTACGGCGAAGCTTAGAGGAACCCACACTGGGCCGGCCTGTGGTATAAGGCCGCCCCGAGACGACCGCTCCCAGTGGGCTCAATGAGCCTACTCTGGATGCGTGCTGGAGGCTACAGGGGGCAGGTCGAGGAGGGTAGAAGAGGATCCACTCTCCCTGTCTTCTGCTACCGAGGAGGAGTCACGGGGGACGAGGAGTGTCGGTATTGCGTTTGCCGCGCTCCCTATTCTCCGCGACTCGGCAGGGCTGCACCGTTGTTGCAGTGGTGGTGGTACCGCGCGGGGAGTGGAGTGTCGGTATTGCGGTGCGCCGTTCTCCCTACCCTCCGCGGCCGAAACGTGGTGAGCGGCTGAGCCACAGACCAGGTCCGCCGCTGGGGGCTGGGAAACTTGCCGCTTATTGGCACTAGCTCTCCTGGCTCCCATGCCCTCTGGTCAGCGAACTTGGTTGTGAAAAATGGGCTGAGTAGGAAGGCGCTGAATGTTCCAGCGACGTTATGTCGACGCAGCTATGTGGCGCCTCGTTGAGCGCCTCTCACCATGCTATGCCGTCTAGACACAGCGGCGTTGCGTTATCGGGCGGCGCCTGGACAGGACAGCTGTATTTCTTTTGCCCCTACAATAAGGGGTACTAAAAACCGAATATTTTTTTTTAAGTGGGACTCGCCATGGGTGGGATTGCTGTATTTAAAATGGTACGGAATCCTTCGTGCGCCAGTCCGACTCGCACTTAGCCGGTTTTTTCTAATGAAGCTAAATTAGTCAAACATTTTCAATTTTACGTGTAAATACCAACATAATTTCGTAATAAATATTAACGACTATTTGATTACAGTGATATTTACGGTGGAGCGTGATGAGGACCGCATTTTCCTCTGTCCACAAATCCCCCATATTGAATGCAAAACCCCAGTCACGTACGCGTGCAAATAAGGATTTACGGGTTTTCCTCATTGCCTTAAACTCGCCTCACTCCACTGAAAAACGTAAAAACGTCGCTTTACCGCCACCGTACAGGGAAACACTCTCTGCAAGTCGCCAAACTATTTCATTTAGTGCATATATGTACGTTGCCTAGGTGCTCTAACTTGGATCTTGAATTAAATATTAGACGGCTAATAATGAAAGGTTAAAGGTTCACAGTGGTAAGTCGATTGAGGTTTCTTTTTTTTTTTGCATTTTTTTCATAATGTAAAGATGATCCCTTGATCTAATTCAAATGTGCTTTAAAGCAGTTAATAGTCGTTAAACATCGATGCTTTTCGAAAAAGAAATAGTCTGAAATATCCATCAATATGTATTCAAATGAGAAAAAAGAAGAGCCGTGATAGCTCAGTGTCCGGGCGCTCGCCTTTAATTTAATATACTCGAGCAACCTGAGTTCGTTCCCCGCTGCTAGCACTAATGAACCTGTTAATTATAAGTGCTGAATTATCACGTGCTCAGCGGTGAAGGAAAACATCATCGGGAAACCTGCATATTTTCGAAAAAATCTCAATGCCGATGCTTTGATTTGTTTCTTATAATAATTTAAACTTGTAAATGGAAACAGAAAATACAGAATTACATAAGAACTTTGCCGTACCGGGCGAGCTGCATATTATTTGTACAATCGCAGGGGTTCTTTTGAAACACTCGGTATTTTGGTTGGTATTATCAAACACTCTAAATTCGTAAACAGAAAAACCGAGGTCCTTTGAAACAATTTTCTTGGTTTATTAAAATGAAACGATAAAAATCGAAATTGAAAAACCCGCTGCCTTATTGTGTTCGCAAACAAGGACCTGTACCATTGTTATACGAAAAACAATTTTCATTTGCCGAAACGGAATCATCTTCTCACGGAGAGTTGTACTGGAAAATGTACAATTTAAACGGGAAGAAAAAAATATAATAATGTTTCTGCCATATTTAGCGAAGCCAATAAGTGTTTAGAACAAAACTAAGTAAAATCATATATCGACCCGCCCTGGCTTCGCACGGATGCAATGCTGTATTATTCATATAAACTTTCCTCTTGAATCATTCTATCTAGTAAAAAAAACTGCATCAAGATCTTTTAAAGATCTAAGCATACATACGGACAGACAGACAGCGGGATGACTTTGTTTTATACTATGTTATTGTACTATGTATACTATGTTATTGTATTTACTACGGTATTGTAGCGGACCATAAATCAATATGAGAGGGAGGAAACACTGTTACGTAGGCACAGAAATAAATGAAATTAAAGTTTGATGAATTAATAATATTAATAATTATGATTCCCACAATTACTTGCTCTGCCTACCAAATCGCATCGATATTATGGATAAAGTACAATCAAGGCGCAATTAGTTTATGTGTATGCTCCTCTCACTACCACAGAAATACTAAAAATGTTTTATGTTCGCGAAACAACGAAAAGCTTTTCCGGCCATAGTACTTAGTGCTGTAGGAGCTATGGATGCTTATCGCCAAGAAAGGTTAATACACT